CTTTCCCTCTCTCTGCCTCAGTTTTCCCCGTCTGCGATATGAGGATAGTAATATTCTAGGCCTACATTGCAGGGTCGATGTAAAGGTGACTGCGACGATGTGCGTGGGGGACACTTGAACACCCTGTAAAGGTGTGAGGTGTAATTACGAAAAGATGCTAAGCCCCTCTGCACGCGCCTTCTGTGGACTGAGGGGAGTACGGCACATTCCAAAGAGAGCATGATGCTTCGGCGCATCGGTGAACAACACGGACCTCCATTTTGATGTTCTCAGAAGCGCTGCTCTCAAAATCCTTTCTCTCGCTGTCCCGACGCTGCTGCTTCCTCCCGCCTCCCCTCCCTCTCCGAGAGTTTATCCTCCTTCCCAAATAAACGGATGCTCGCTGACCTACTTCAGACGCATCCTCTCTCTCGGCTTCCTGGCTTTTCAGAAACGACATGATTCCTCGAGGCATCGAGCTCCTCGGATATTTTTAGCCAGCCAGGGATCCTTGCGCTGCGCTTAGCAAGAGTTACCAGATCCGTGCTGTTTTTTAAACAGCCGCAGTTGCAAGGAAAGGAGGGATTTGTGGGGAAAAACTGTGTATGCCATTTTCATGCGGCGAGCAGGGTCGTTTGCATACATTTGCATGCCCGATTCAGTGCCTTTCTGTATACCTTTCCTCTGGATAACAGAATCGTAGGGGTGCGTATTCATTTAGCTGGCATTGGTGGATCCGACTTATGGCGAACCCCAGATGGGGTTTTCAAGGCGAGAGATGTTCAGAGGTGGTTCGCCATTGCCTGCCTCTGCGTACTGACCTTCGACTTCCTTGGTGGTCTCCCATTCCAGTACTAACTACTTAGATTCTGAGATCTGAGAGATCGGGTTACCCTGGGCTATCCAGGTCAGGGCAGACGTTCAGAGGTGGCTTGCCACCGCCTGCTCCAAGCAGCCCTCAGTCAGAGCAAGAAGCAGCCAGGTAAGCTGCAGAGCCCCCCCTTGCCCCCCCCTGGTCCAAAACAGTCCAGTGGCACCTTTAAGACCAAGTTTTATTCAGGTACAAGCTCTCCCTCCTCTGCAAGGACAGATCTACAAGTCCCCCCCCCAATAGCTAGCAATCCAAAACAGTCCAGTGTTGCCTTCTGACACACTTCCGGTGATGTCAGGGTGTGTGGCATATGCAAATAAGTTATGCTACTGAGCTCCTGCACGTCTTTTTCTACGAAATGACCCCTGACTATGATGACTACTTATTATTCTATCCAGGGAAAATTCCCAGTTCCACTTTCACCACTAGCCCCACCCGAATGAAGGACAAGAACAGCTGAGAAGAAGAAGAAGAGGAAGAGGAGGAGGAAGAAGAAGAGGAGGAGGAGGAGGAGGAGGAGATTGGATTTATACCCCGCCCTTCACTCGGAGTCTCAGAGCGGCTTACAAACTCCTTTCCCTTCCCCTCCCCACAACAGACACCCTGTGACGTAGGTGGGGCTGAGAGAGCTCTTGACAGAAACTGCTCTATTTCAAGAACAGCTCTGACAAAACTATGGCTTGCCCAAGGTCATCCAGCAGTTGCAAGTGGAGGATTGGGGAATCAAACCCGGTTCTCCCAGATTAGAGTCCACGCACTTAACCACTACACCAAGTTATGATATTCCAAGAGTTTCGGACTACTATCTGGGAGATCTGAGTTCGAATCCCCACTCATGCGATGTAAGCTTGCTGGGGGATCTTGGGCCAGTCACACACTCTGAACCTAGCCTTCTTCACAGGATTGCTGTGAGGAGAAAAAGGAGGCAAAGAGAACAACGGAAGCCGCTTTGAGTCCCCCTTGAGAGAAAGGCGGGGTATAAATGAAGTCGATAAAATAAACTCTGCACATGTTCAAGGGGACTTGTTGTTCCAGTGCCGTGAGCCCTGCCCAGGCTTACCGAGATCATTTCGTCTTTCTTGCACTGCTGGGAGAGGTCCCGGACGCCGCCGACAAAATGCTTGTTGGTGACGATGTAGGCCTTGCCGGCGTCTATCATATTGCTGCATAGCTTCACCAGCTGAGGAAGAAGAGAGAAGAGAACTCAGATAGAAATCGGGGACAACGACAGCCATTGCTTTTTTTGTAGAAAAAGCCCAGCAGGAGCTCATTAGCATAATAGGCCATAGCCAACAGCAGAAACTCATTAACACATTAGGCCACACCCCAACAGCACAGCTCATTAGCATATTAGGCCATACCCCATGACGAGGTCATTTCCTGCAGGAGCGCACAGGAGTGGAGCTCCGGCAGTAAAGAGCCCAGGGGGTGGGCACATGCAACAAGCCCCGCCCCCTGTTCCCAGCAGCCCTCAGTCAGAGCAACAAGCAGCCAGGTACGTTGCAGAGCCCCCCCGGCCCCCTGGTCCAAAACAGTCCAGTGGCACCTTTAAGACCAAGTTTTATTCAGGCACAAGCTCTCCCTCCTCTGCGAGGACAGATCTGCACGTCCCCCCCCCAATAGCTAGCAATCCAAAAGAGTCCAGTGGCGCCTGAGCGGTGGTTGTTGCCTTCTGACACACTTCCGGTGATGTCAGGGGTTGTGGCATATGCAAATAAGTTATGCTAATGAGTTAGGCTAATGAGCTCCTGCACCTCTTTTTCTACGAAATGACCCCTGGTCCCATGCCTTCGCTTAGCTTGCCCAGGCGCCCCATAGCTGCAGGGAGCACATGCACAGCCCAAATCAAGGCCCTTCAGCTCTTGTCAACTTGGATAAAATTCAGATCTAGGGGGGAATACAGTGTAGCGGTTAGACCACTGGAATAAGTTTGTGGGGAGGTCCATTGCGTTCAGAGTTTGCTGAGTGACCTAAGACCTCGCTCTTTCTTTCTCTCTCTCTGACCGATTTCACACAAGCAGCTGTGCCGCCCTTGCTCTTCCTTTCCCCCTGATTGCATTCATCCATTTCCCACTACTTGCTGCGCGGCCACGTTTTGACCTGCAGCATCCCCCGATCCCCCCCCCCGCATCTTCGCGATCCTTGTTTTTTGAGATCGCGAATGCAATCGGGGGAAAGGGAAGCACGAGGGCGGTGCAGCTGCTTGTGGGAAATCAGTCTCTCTCTCTCTTTCCCCCTCAGCCTTGCTTCATTCACAGGGGTGTTGTGAAGATAATGTGACAGACGGACAGAGAAGGCCCCAGGTTCAGTCCCTGGTGTAGGGGTTTCAGGTCCAGGTTGGGAAATGCCTGGAGATTTAGGGGGTGGAGCCTGAAGAGGGCGGGGTTTGGGGAGGGGAGGGACTTCAACGGGGTACAATGCCATAGAATCCACCTTCCAAAGCAGCCATATTCTCCAGGGGAACAAATCTCTGTGACGTGATGTCATAGACTCCGCCCTCTGAAGCAGCTATTTTCTCCGGGGGAGCTGAACTTTGTAGCTCGGGAATCAGTTGCAATTCCAGGAGGTCTCCAGGCCCTGCCTGGAGGTTAGCGACCTTGTGTCCTACCCTGTCTTTGCACTGATTGTGTCCTACCCTGTCTTTGCCACTTTGGGGTCAGGAAGCAATTTTTCTCCAGGCCAGTTTGGCCGGGAATCATGGAGGTTTCCTGTCATCTTCTGGGTGTGGAGCAGGGGTCACTGCGGGTGTGTGTGTGGGGGAGGTATTTGTGAATTTCCTGCACTGTGCAGGGGGTCGGACTAGATGACCCTGGAGGTCCCTTCCAACTCTACGATTCTCTGATTCTATGACTGAGGGCAAAGAGATTTGCCTCCAAGACTGGAACGGGATTCGAGGCAGAGCCGGGAACAGACTAGGCCCCGGAACGCAGCTTTCTGCCTCCCGCGCTCCTCTCGCTCCCGTCATCTGGCAAGGCGAGTCGATGCTGGCAAGCGGCTGCACGCCGCTGCGTCCAATTCCAGATGCGGCTCCCGGTCACATCTGGCACCCAGATGGACACCAGTGGGGTTTGGAGCGAGCCCCTGGAAGGGAAGAAGGACACGCTTTCTGCAACGTGGCAGTTTCTCCCTCGCACAGACGCACACACCCACCGCTCTACTTGTACGCTGGGAGGAACAAGCGGCCGGCGTTCGCTGGCGGCCCGCTTGGGGGAGAGGGAATGGGGGCCTGCGTTCAGACACGAAGCCCACATTGTCAAAATTATCATCCACATGGTAGCAGGTCGTAGGAAACAGCCACCTCTACCAACCGAAGCGGCAATGCCAACGGACAGAACGGCTAGAGGGCTACCAGCGCTGGGGTTGAGAAATTCCCGGAGATTTGGGTGTGGACTGGAGCCCGGGGAGGGCTGGCTTCGGGGAAGGGAGAGATCTCAGTGGGGTACGCTCCCACAGATTCCGCCCTCGAAAGTGGCCCTTTTCTCCCAGGGAACTGATCGTGGTCATCTGGAGATGAGCTGTGTAATTCTGGGAGATCTCCAGGACCCACCTGGAGGCTGGCAACCCTACCACAGCCCTGGGGGGCTTGAGTGTGTGGACCTCCTGTCAGAAATCATAGGGTGCCCATGGACGGCTCGTGGATCGGATCCAGCGGGGCTCTTCTCCGGTCATTCAGCAAGGCTAACTTCAGCCTCAGGAAGTGCAGCGTTAAAAGGTATGCGCGGACGCACAGCTGGGGATATGATCTTTGGCACCCGGACAGGAACAGCGGCCTGGAAAGAGCGGCTGGCGGATCCTGCGGGCCGCCGAAAGCCAAATCCAGCCTTCCAGCCTGGAGAGCAAGCGGAAAAGGAAAGCCATCTCAGAGCTGGAATTTGCTGCCGAGAGCCGCCTGCTATGTGATGTGGGAAGAACGGGGGCAGCTGGGAAAGAGGCCTGAGGGCAGAGTCAACGCGCTGGTCAGCCTGCCTGCGTATCGCCCACTCCGGCCGGCAGAGGCTCTGCAGGGTCTCAGGCGGGGAAAGACCTTTTCCATTACTTGCTACACGGGATCTTTTCAGCCTTCTTGACTGGACCCATAGAGCACTCCCCCAATAACCTACAAACAGTCTATAATTGCAGGAAAGAGCAAGAGTCCAGTAGCACCTGAAAGACTAACAAAATATGTGGCAGCAGGGCTATTTTGGGGCAGGAACGCACAGGGACGGAGTTCCGGCCGGCTTCAGAGTTGGCCACGCCCACTACAGCTAAAACGTCTGTGCTCGTGGCTACAGAGGGAAGGCCTGGACAGCAAAAAAAAAAACCCGCGACTCTGAGGTGGGCAGGCTGTGGGGGGGAGGCCGTCTTCTGTGGCTTGTTCCCAGCTAGGCTTCCCAACCTCCAGGTGTTGCTAAAACACACATCGTGGCCTTTGGCTCTGCACAATAAGGCTGGGACGCACATCTGGAGAAACCATAAATTATGAGAACCCAATGTTGTTTTGTTTGTTTTAATTCCTTTTCTTACGCTCAGGGGTCATTTCCTGCAGGAGTGCACAGGAGCGGAGCTCCGGCAGTAAAGAGCCCAGGGGGCGGGCACATGCAACAAGCCCCGCCCCCTGCTCCCAGCAGCCCTCAGTCAGAGCAAGAAGCAGCCAGGTAAGCTGCAGAGCCCCCACCCAGCCCCCCCGGTCCAAGACAGTCCAGTGGCACCTTTAAGACCACGGTTTATTCAGGCACAAGCTCTCCCTCCTCTGCGAGAACAGATCTGCACGGTCCCCCCCCCCCAATAGCTAGCAATCCAAAACAGTCCAGTGGAGCCTGAGCGGTGGGTGTTGCCTTCTGACACACTTTCGGTGATGTCAGGGGGTGTGGCATATGCGAATAAGTCATGCTAATGAGTTATGCTAATGAGCTCCTGCACCTCTTTTTCTACAAAATGACCCCTGCTTACGCTCCTGGGCCTTCCTCTCAGGATTTTTGTGTGCTTATGTGGTCCCTCTGCACCATTTTACCTTCACAACAATCCTGTGAAGATAATTAGACTGAGAGAGTGAGAGAGATGTCTGGTCTGTAGGGCTTGCCAACTCCAGGTTGGGAAATTCCTGGATATTTGGAGGCAGGGCCTGAGGTGGGCAGGGCTTTGGGAGGGGAGGGGCCTCAGCTGTCATAGCATCCACCCTCCAAAGCGGCCATTTTCTCCAGGGGAGCCGATCTTTATAGTCTGGGAAACCAATTTTACAAACCACAAAAAAGATCTATTTTATTTCTGAAATGTTACAAATACACCAACCACATTATAGCAATGCCCCCCCCAAAAAAAATCTCAATGGGGCATAACTATAACTACCACATTGGGAGTCAGCTGGCCAAGGGTCACCCACCCAGTGAGCCTCATGACTGAGGGGAGATTTGAACCTGTGGCTCCCAGGTGGTAGTCCAAAACTCACGCTCTGTCATGCTTATGTTCCCCCCCCCTCAAGTGGGCATTTTGGAGCTCAGGGCGGGGGGGAAATCCACATTATAAGAACGTAAGAGAAGCCATGTTGGATCAGGCCAATGGCCCCTCCAGACCAACACTCTGTGTCCCACAGGGGCCAAAACCCAGGTGTCATCAGGAGGTCCACCAACAAGGCCAGAACTCCAAAAGCCCCCCCACTGTTACCCCTCAAGCACGAAAAATACACAGCATCACTGCCCCAGACATAAGAACATAAGAGAAGCCATGCTGGATCAGGCCAATGGCCCCTCCAGACCAACACTCTGTGTCCTACAGTGGCCAAAACCCAGGTGCCATCAGGAGGTCCACCAGCAGGGCCAGAACTCCAGAAGCCCCCCCACTGTTGCCCCCCTCCCGGCACCAAGAAGACAGGGCATCACTGCCTCAGACATAAGAACATAAGAGAAGCCATGCTGGATCAGGCCAATGGCCCATCCAGTCCAACACTCTGTGTCCCACAGTGGCCAAAACCCAGGTGCCCTCAGGAGGTCCACCAGCGGGGCCAGAACTCCAGAAGCCCTCCCACTGTTGCCCCTCCCCCGGCACCAAGAAGACAGGGCATCACTGCCTCAGACATAAGAACATAAGAGAAGCCATGCTGGATCAGGCCAATGGCCCATCCAGTCCTACACTCTGTGTCACACAGTGGCCAACACCCAAGTGCCATCAAGAGGTCCACCAGTGGGGCCAGAACTCCAGAAGCCCTCCCACTGTTGCCCCCCAAGCACCAGGAATACAGAGCATCACTGCCCGAGACATAAGAACATAAGAGAAGCCACGCTGGATCAGGCCAATGGCCCCTCCAGTCCAACACTCTGAGTCACTACAGTGGCCAAAATCCAGGTGCCCTCAGGAGGTCCACCAGCGGGGCCAGAACTCCAGAAGCCCTCCCACTCCACCCCCAAGCATATTACATCACTGACCATTTCCAAATCTAGCACTTGAGGCTTGAAGAGTCACAAGAAACTCCCCGCACGCACCCACCCACGCCATGTTTCCCCCTTACCTTGTCGAGCTTGGCTTCGATTTCCACAACATCTGTTTCCACCTCATCTATCGTCGCCCTGGAAAGGAAAAAAGAAAGGGAGGAAGCATCGTGAGCCGTTTGAAAGAGAGATGCTCAGCTGGTCAGAGATGGGTAACTTGGGAGGTGGGAGGCCAACAGAGTTGCCAACTCCAGGTGGGGAAATTCCTGGAGATTTGGGGGTGAGGACCTCAGTGGGGACGTGGCACCATACAGGGGAACTTAGCTTGGAGAAATGACGACTGAGGGGTGACATGATTGAGGTTTACAAGATTATGCATGGGAAAGAGCAGGTAGAGAAAGAGGTACTTTTCTCCCTTTCTCACAATACAAGAACTCGTGGGCACTCCATGAAATTGCTGAGCGGTCAGGTTAGAGCGAATAAGAGGAAGTCCTTCTTCACCCAAAGAGTGATTAACACTTGGAATTCACTGCCGCAGGAAGTGGTGGCGGCTACAAGCACGGACGGCTTCAAAAGGGAATTAGATAGGCATATGGAGCAGAGGTCCATCAGTGGGTATTAGCCACAAGGTATAGATAGGGACTCTGGGGCAAGTGATGCTCTGTCTTCTTGGTGCTTTGGGGGGGGGGGTCAACAGTGGGAGGGCTTCTAATGTCCTGGCCCCACTGGTGGACCTCCTGATGGCACCTGGTATTTTTGGCCACTGTGTGATACAGAGTGTTGGACTGGATGGGCCTTTGGCCTGATCCGACATTGGCGTCTCTTATGTTCTTATGTACAGACCACCCTTCCGATACATAAACTATGAAACCATAAGCTATGAAAAGCTGTTGTTTCGTTTCTTTAAAATTTGTTTTCTTATGCTCCGACGCTTCCTCTCAAGAGTTCAATGTGCTTATGTGGTCCCTCCCCCCCCATTCTACCTTCACAACAACCCTGCGAGGTTGATTAGGTTGAGAGAGCTTGTGTACGACTGGCCCTGGAGATGGTTGCCAACTCCAGGTTAGGAAATTCCTGGAGATTTGGGGCGAACTCACAGGATGACAGGGTCTGGGAAGGGGAGGGACCTCAGCAGGGGGGTACAATGCCACAGAGTCTCCCTCCAAATCAGCCGTTTTCTTCCGGGGAACTAATCTTGATAGTCTGGAGATCAGAGAGCCAGTTTGGTGTCGTGGTTAAGTGCGCAGACTCTAATCTGGGAGAACTGGGTTTGATTCCCCACTCCTCCACTTGCACCTGGCTGGATGACCTTGGGCAAGCCATAGTTCTGATAAGAGCTGTTCTTGAAAAAGAGCCGTTTCTGTCAGAGCTCTCTCAGCCAATCTCCTCCTCCTCCTCCTCAGCTGGAATTCCAGGAGATCTCCAGGCCCCACCTGGGGGCTGGCAACCCTACGAGTCATCAGGGACCATCAAAGACTATCAGGCCCGAACTTTCCTTTGACCAAGTACTACAAAAACACAAAGTTTGCATCAGCACCCCCAGGCCCCCAGGCCCGCAGCTACGCTGGGGCTTCCGGGGGCTCTGTCCCCGTTCTTAAAGGCACAGTCCCACAAGAATTTCTCCTGTAAATGCTTTTCCCAATCATTATAAACATTTTTTAAAGGTGTGCGCTCCTTTAAGCTGAGTGGGGTGCTGTAGTTGACTAATTCCTGCACTGAGCAGGGGGGTTGGAGTAGGTGACCTCTAGGATCTCTTCTAACTCTGTGTCAAGAAACTGGTCTCCTTTCAGAGCATTTTTCTGTCTGTTAGCTTTCTTGGCTATAGAAACCTGCCTGCTTGTTACCAGATTGTCACTTAGGCTGGCAGAAGCGATGAACTCGCAGCAGCTGAGAACTGTCATCTAAAGTGGTTGACGTAGGGTTCCCAAGTACTTACCACGATCCGGCAGGGGACACATGGTCCCCGGCTGGAACATTCCTCCCTGTAACGCACCATGCCATCGCCAGGAAGTGATGCTGGGCGACGCTCTGGCAATGGGGCTGAAAACACAATGGTACCATCGAGTTTCCAGCCCCATTGCTAGAGCGTTGCCCAGCGTCACTTCCTGGCGACGGCATGGTGCGGCGCGTCTGTTGTCCCTGCGGAAATGATACTGCGAAGACGTCTGTGTCCCCCGCCGAATCATGGTAAGTACTTTGGAAGCCTGGGTTGACAGCTTGCAATGTAGAGGTCTATCCTGGTAACAGCCTTCTATTGGCTAAATGTTTTTTTTCTTTCTGCACTGAGAACTTCAGCCCCACCAGGAAAAAAAATATGCTCCACAAGCAGAGGTCATTTCGGGGGGGATCCCGGGGGATCGCAGTTCCCCCGGGTGAGGTACGGGGGCGGGACATATGGCAAAGCCCCGCCCCCTGCTTCCGGCCGCCCCACTTCCGTACCTCATTCAGCCAGGAAGAGGCAGGAGAAGAGGGAGGGTAAGTTGCTTCCTCCCTGCCTCTTCCCACCCCTGCCTGCCTGGGGCCAGGGAGGGCCTTCGCGGGGCTTCCTTGCACTCCCGCCGGCCTTGCAGGTCCACCGCCGGGCCCCTCATGGGGCTCAGCAGTGGAGCTGCAAGGCCGGCAGCGGCCGGGACCGTTGGGGGCGGGGTGTGTGGCCTTATGACACACTTCCGGTGATGTCAGGGGGTGTGGCCTTATGACACACTTCCGGTGATGTCAGGGGGTGTGGCATATGCTAATGAGTTATGCTAATGAGTTTCCCTAGCTCTTTTTCTATGAAACGACCCCTGCCCACAAGCCACAACATCCTGGCTACGAGCTTGGGCTCCCCTCACCTGAATCGACAGACTCCAGCCCACGTTACTTAAAAAGCAAGCGGAAAAGCGACCGCCTGTACCAAAGATGCCTTTAGAGCGTCACTGGGGAGCTAAAGACCGGATGAGAGGAACCATTGGCCTGACAGACGAAATGAGAACTCCTGGTTTTGACTGGGACTCGAGGAAGGCCTCGGAGAGGAGAGAGAAGGCAGATCAAAACCACGAAGAGCCACAGACTCGAGCATTCCTGTCGGCTTGGAGGAGGCCCTTCCTAGCTCAAACCCGGCCTGCTCTAGAGACACAGCAATCCAGAGGCCGTGTCCAGGCGATCATTCCTGTGGTAGACCTCGATCGCGACTCTTTTAATCAGCAACAGAAAAACAACATATTTGGGGCTCCGAAGGAAGGTGTGGGTGGACAGGAATGGGAGAGGCAAGGCCTAGCGAGCCCGAAGGAAGTCAGCTGGTGTCAGGGCTGTACCGCTTCGGACCGCAGGTGGGGGAACCCAGAACGGAATGTTCTTCTACCCCTATCCCTACTCCTCCGCCAGATAGAAAACTAGTATGTCAAGATTATAGGCTAGATTTCTCGAAGCAGGGGATGGCGTTTGTACAAAAGAACATTCACCATAATAATGATAATGATAATGATAATGATAATAATAATAATAATAATAATAATAATAATAATATACTTTATTGTCATTGTACATAGTACAATGAAATTAAGATGCAATCATTCGGTGATCTACAACCATACTCATATACACTCACACAACCATTCACAACCATTCACACAACTCATCCACTGTCTGAAGCAGTACAGCCCGGACTAGGGTTGCCAATCCCCAGTTGGGGGCAGGTGATCCCCTGGTTTGGAGTCCCTCCCCCCACTTCAGGGCTGTCAGAAAGCGCCCCCCCCGCTCCATTATACCCTTTTTGGTTTGGGGGGGGGGGGGTATGTTTTGAGATAGAGGCACCAAATTTTCAGCATAGCTGCTGGTGCCTCTCCTGGAACTCCCCCCCCCCCAAGTTTCAAAAAGATTGGACCAGGGGGCCCAATTCTATGGACCCCAGAAGGAGTTGCCCCCACCCTCCATTATTTCCAATGGAGAGAAAGCATTTAAAAGGAATGTGATCCCTTTAAATGTGATGGCCAGAACTCCCTTCCAGCTTGTTGACATCACCTGGCAACCCTTGCTTCTGGCTCCACCCCCAAAGTCTCCTAGCTCCACCCCCAAAGTCCCCAGATATTTCCTGAGTCGGACCTGGCAACCCTAGCCCAGACACAACAGCGAGAAGGTAGATGGAGGCATCAAAAAATGACCAAGAAGGAGAGAATGGGGGCCTGGGGGCTACAGGGAATTCATGGGTCTAAAGGGGTTCGCTCTGCAAGGCAGCAGGGATGGGTATTTGCCAGAGTCCCAGGACTCAAAATTGGGAGGAAAGGAAGGAACTGAATGAATAGAACGAGGAAAGGAAACGTTTAAACCATGTTTGCAACCTGATCTCAATGCTAACAGCCAGGGCAGGTCCCGCCACGTGAGGGCTCTTCACCTTGAGGTCTTTTATGCCACTGACTGGATTCAAGCCAAGCTTTTCAGCCGTGTTCGCACATGCAGGAGAATGGGGTGCGAGCAGGGGTCATTTCCTGCGGGAGCGCACAGGAGCGGAGCTCTGGCAGTAAGGAGCCCAGGGGGGAGGGCACATGCAACAAGCCCCACCCCCTGCTCCCAGCAGCCCTCAGTTGGGCCATGAGAAGCAAGAAGCAGCCAGGTAGGTTGCAGAGCCCCCCCCCCAGCCCACCTTCAGGTACAAGCTCTCCCTCCTCTGCAAGGGCAGATCTGCACGTCCCCCCCCCCCAATACCTAGCAATCCAAAACAGTCCAGTGGAGCCTGAGCGGTGAGTGTTGCCTTCTGACACACTTCAAGTGATGTCAGGGGGTGTGGTATATGCAAATAAGTTATGCTAATGGGTTATGCTAATGAGCTCCTGCACTTCTTTTTCTACGAAATGACCCTTGGGTGCGAGAATGCCAAGATGGTAGGGCAGCAGTGTTCCCTCTAAGCTGAGTTAGTGTGAGCCAGCTCACAGGTTTTTAGCCTCCGGCTCACACATTTTTGTCTGAGCTCAGGAAGGATGGGCTCCAGAGCAAACTAATTTATGCAGCAGCCAAATTGCTCGCTCACAACTTTAATACCAGTGGCTGACAAAGTAGAACCTTTGCTCAGAGGACTCCACAGCTTAGAGGGAGCATTGTAGGGCAGCCTGCACTACTACTTCTGACTGGGAGCGGAGAGTATATCCCATTTAGAAGGCTCC